TTTAATCACTTTTTAAAACTTATTAAGATTTTTACATAATGTATTCAATTTATGATATATTTGTAAGACTTTCATAATTCTAGCATATTCAATTAAAATTTTTAGGGACTTTTGAAAAATTTACATTTATTTCAACTTTTAGAGTATTTTATAATTTTTTAATATATAAAGGGACAATGATATTTACTTAAAATAGTAGCTAAAAATCAGCAAAAGTATATATTTAGTTTTCCGCCTAAAATATTTACTAAATTGAATAATCTATTTGGCCAAAATTTAAATAATCCCGCCTATTTGATATTTTTATTATTATTTTTTAAAAAAGTTAAAATGTAAACATTGGGTCGTTTAAGAACAAACTCGGGCCTAATTTTGTGTCTATCGGATACATTTATGCTATTTATTTGTTAAAAGTCGATTGTCTTGCCGATCAAAAAATTTAAATTTTTGTTAATTTAAACTATCAATATATTTCAAACGTTGTTCTTTTTTCTTGCCAATAAAAAAATGAGAATTTAGTTAATTTCAACAAAAGATTACCAATTATAAAAAATACGATTTTTCCAATAATAAAATACAATTAAACATATGAAAATCTTTTTTTTTTCTTTTTGTTCATTTTTTGTTCATAATCACAATAAAAACTAATTTTAAACATATTTATCATTCAAGTCCATAAGGTAGCACAATTTAAGTACACTACATTTAGCAAGTAAATTTTATTTGCATGTAAAATATTAGATTTTGATTTTTTTTTTTCAATACAAATGCTAAAACTTGATTCTATAAGGTAGCATATTTAAGTCTTTTTAAAGATTTAATTAATAGCAATTTAACATTATTATAATTCTAAAACAATACCCTAGACGTAGTAAAACTCATTTGCAGGATTTTCATACATAACTAACAATTGGACAATTAAAATTTTGTTATAATCTCATCAACTAAAATTTGGATATGTAATAATCCTAAAATAAGAATAATTTGAAGATATTGAAAATCATATTTATAGTAATTTGACAAAAATAAAATTCTAAAAAAAAAAAGAAGTCCACTTACAGTTAGAAAAGTAAATTTTATTTGCAAAAAAAAAAAAAAAGGTTACGATTTTTCTCATATTGATAGTAATTTGATAAAAACTAAAATTCTAAAAAAAAAAAAGTCCACCATAGTTAGCAAAGTAAATTTCATTTGAAAAAAAAAAGTTAAATTACAATTCTTATTTTTTCAATATAAATGCTAAAATCTAATTCCATAAGGTAGCACAATTTAAGTCCACTATCGTTAGGAAAGTAAATTTCATTTCCATATAAAATATTAGATTTCAATTTTTTTCAATATAAATGCTAAAATCTGATTCCATAATACAAACAATATCTTCCAATTTTTAGTTTAAAAAATCATTCAATATATATGTTATACATATTTTATTGTTGTGATTAAAATTTTAATATTTTTATTTAAAGGATATGGACACATGAGTTTGTCCCACAATCGACTCGATTATTGTTAATTGATGGTACCTTGTGTACAAAGGTGCAATAGCAAGATGGAGAGTGAAGATGACGAGATGCATTGCACCGAGTGCACCCTTACACATGACACTGCACGGTTAGAATAAATTCTTTTTCTTTCGCAATATAAATTTTAATAGTTATTATATTATTTAGTACTTTATGACATGCCTTTTGTATTTATAAAGATACAAGATGCAATTTGGAGTCGCTGATGCTTCTACAAATGGCACATTCATATGTTGGGATAAAGAGTGTGAACATATTATTAGCAAGTCTTATGAGCTTCTAAAATGTGAATTTCCTGGGTTAAAGGTAACTAATATTCAATAAAAAATATCAAATACTTAAACATTTACCGAACCAAGAATGTTGTGTATAGAGAAGTGTTTCATAACATATTATTTTTTTTTTATAATTTGTATTTCTCTTTTTTTTTTTTTCTATGGGAAAAATTCAAAACTAGTCCCACAGGTATATGGGGTGACAATTTTGGTCTCAACGGAATGCAGAAAATATGAATTGTCCCACAGTTTTATAAAAATGATCAAAAGTAGAATATTTTTGCCAGATTTACTATTTTTGGCCCAGAATGCCACATCGTGCACTTGTGGCTTATTTTTTTGCACGAGCTGTACTATTTATATTTTTATGCATACATGTGGGACCAAAAATGTCACATCCCTATACCTGTGGGACTAGTTTTAAATTTTTTTCCTATCTACGTCGGATGCCAACGTGTAAGAAAATAAGCAACATGTGCGCCACGTGGCGTCCCGACCGGAATAGTAAAAGTCCTACTTTTGATCATTATTAAAAAACTGTGGGACTATTCATATTTTCTGTATTCCTTTGGGACCAAAATTGTCACCCTTATACCTGTGGGACTAGTTTTGAAATTTTTCTTTTATTTTTTTATAGTCAAATAATTTTTTTTAAGGAAAAATATTTAAAATAAAGTTTTAAAAAAGATTTGAGAAATAAACCCCAACGTGCGACGCACGGGGAGTACACAAGTTGTGTTGTATTTAATTAAAACTTTTGAAGATTTCTGAAAAGTTTGCATATACTCAATTGAAACTTTTAAAGACTTTTTTATAAGTCTCTAAAAATCTCAAGGAATTCAATTAAAAATTTGTGAGGGTCTTTATAAGTTACCTGATATTCAAAGTATGAAGACTTTATGATACTTTTTAAATAACAAGACTTTTAGAGACTTTTGTAGAAAAAATTACAAAGATAAGTCTTAGCATAAATCTCATCAAATTGGTGAGATTTGCTGGAAGGGGGTTTATTAAATTAGGATCTTGAGAGCCGTTTTAAGACTTTTTAACATAGATAACTTTTGTGGACTTTATGCAACTTATAATGATTTTTTGTGGATTTTGTGAGATTATTATAGAGACTTTTTAAGACTTTCAATATGAACGTTTTGAGACTTTCAATGACTTTTATATAATTCTTATAATAATTAAATTTGTATAGAATGCACATAAAAAATTATTTGCATAGTTATTAATATTAATAAAGTCAATTTAGTAAAAAGGCAGCCTTATTATTTTTTTTTTTTTTTTT